TCGACCAACTTAGAAATCACAATTCAAGATATTTACATACAACTTCCCTCGATATATATATCTCTCTCTTACCAGAATAATATCAACAAAAGAAAATCCTAAAATACGATAAACAAGCAGCAGAGTTTTCAATAACACGATTTCGCACGAATTACATTATATTCATATTCGAAATCTCACGCGGCAAAAAGTCACGCCATACCATAATGCAACCGCTTTAACCGCTTCTCTTGTTTCTTGTTGGGCGGTATCGCGGCGAGCCAGTCGTCGCGATGGTATAAATTCGAATTCCGCAGGTATCGCGTTTTTCCTTCGGAAATATGGAAGGAGAATCAGTTTCTTCACGAAGCGGCGTTTTATTGAGCGCGCCCTTTATTTCGCTCACCCCGGTGATATATATTCGATTGCATAACTGTCGTTCCACCTGTGTTGGAGATACCCAGGGGGAGGGCTTACGTCTAATTTTTCATTGTAATACGATTTACGGAAACTTCTCAATGCGCCGCCGTCCCACTCTGCAACCGCGTAACTGGGGCAAGCTGTATTTTTTAAAACTATGGGGAAGGCGTCGTGGGACAAGATGAAATTGCGTATCGCGTGATGTATACATTCCGGAATTAATTTTATATTTTTTTCCGTGGATACGATTTGAAATATGTATAATAATCGTGCTTGATGAAATTTTATTCTTTTTTCCATAAGAGCGTAGTAATAGAGACAAGCACACCTCCATTTTTGTTTAATCGCGAATCCATATTTTCTTTTTATGATTAGGCGAAATGATTCTCTTTGTAGTATAACAATATGCTTGGGAAAAGTAAGTGAAGATTTGGAAGATTCATTTTCAGTCGATCGATGATAAGAAAATTTGGGAATATTAATTTGTTTTTTGTTTTCACGCTTAATTGAAAATTGAAAGGGAAATTGATCCAAATTTTAATTAAAAGAAAAAAAAAGTCGAAATATAACGTTTCATTTTTTTCAATTTACTCATCAATTTTCATATAAAATTCGTTTACATGAAATAGTTAATTTGATTCTGCATTTTGCATGAAAATGTGCAATATCTTATCGCGCACGGTAGAAAATAGTCAATTCCATTAAATTTCTGCATGAATATGCGCATATATTTATTTCATATTTCATAATCGAAAGGAATATCTACATCGTGGGTAACGAATCAAGAGTTTGAGGAAAAACGTGATAAAACAAAGGGAAGGATATGAATAAAATGTTACTAGGTACTTTTTGTCTGGTATAAATTACAATCAAAGATTGGATATTTAAAGAAAAATTGAGTTTCAAAATTAAGATTGGTCGAAAATTTATTTTTCACTTGTTTTAATAGTTTTAAATCGTAATAATTAACAAAAAAAAAAAAGTTGGAGGAAAATTTGTAAGGAAATTTTTATTATATAGTACTTTTCAAATATCGTAATCAAAGTGTATAGCATTTAAAATATATCGCGAAAAGAAACGAAAAAAAAATCATTAGTTCAATAAAATAAATAGAAATAATTTCATAAATTGCAAAATCGTGGATTAATTCGATACTTTTATTAATTTTATCAATATAAGGATTCAGCGGATTTTAAATTTATTTAAATTCCGATATATTTGATCATTTTACATTTAAAGTACATTTGACATATATTTATTTTAACCAAAACGTTTATTTTAAAAATCCGCTATTTTCTTCCCACATTTTCACAACACGCCATTTGGCAATAAAACGATAAGATAACAAACGAATTTTAACGAGAAGTTATTCCCAAAATAAATAAATAAATAAATACGTAAAAATGAATATTGAATTAAAATGCCCGTGTAACTTTATCGGTACCCGATATTTTGTTTCTTGTTATCGAATATATATATGGCTCGCGAATACATTATTGAGAAAATATTGGTGGCGTGTTGTGTATCAGCCTGGTGGATTAACAATTACCGAATCCATAGGCATGTATATCGATTGGGAAAGAACATTTTTCGTGTCAATAATTTTGAAAAGCAGTTGCTCGATGAACGAGTGAAAGGTAAATTATTCGTCGTACTTTCACCCCCTGAATTTTACATGTATTCACTGGAAAATGCGGTAATTTAATTCCATCATAAAATGTGCATTCATTTCATCTTTCATTACAATTTTCACTTATCGTCGACACTCACTTGTGTTTATTAACTTTTCATGGAATTCAATATCGATATTAAATTAATAATATAGAAATACATAGGATCAAATGTTGCGATATCGATAAACATTTGTTCGAGAAAAAAAAAAAATAAAATTAATTAAATTTTTCAGCAATAGGTTTTTTTCTTTTTTTTTAAAAATAATCCAGAGTTTAGATATTTCGTACTTTTTTTTCTTTTCTTTCCAATTCTTAATTATTTATCTTAAAGATATTACATTCGTTCTTTATTCTTTATCTTTTTTAAAAATAATTTTTAAATATGCTTTTAAAAACTTTATAAAAACTATCTCTTCTCTTTATTTTACTATCATCATTTTAGATTTCGATACGATATAATGCTTCAACGACGGTAAGATTTTAATAAAACATTACTCATAATCCCATAATAGAAGAGAAAAAGAAAAAGCGAAAAGTAACGATTATCACAGCGAATGCTTTAATCCATAACCCTGAACATTAGTTATGCGAGCAGTTATCTCCACTACTTTTTTACAATGAACATTTTTTCCTCCTGTAAATTTACTTACCTTTAATCCTTTCCATCCTTTAAAATTTTAAAGGATCTTTGGTTCTTTTAAATTCCAAGTTAAATACATTTCGTGAATTTCAATTATAAATGATTCGTGAAATATATCGCACCAATATTCAAAAATCTAGTCATATTATTAGAATGAATCACTTTGAAAACATTATGAAAAATCATGTTGAAATCATTACTAAATTGGAGCTATTTGCTTACAAAAAAAAAAAAAAAGGAAAAGAAAAAAAAGAAAGGAAAGAAGCGTTTCCTTAGAGATAGTAGAATTCCCTTTAAGGTAGAAGATAAAATGAAAATCTCGAGGAACAGAATTTTCCTTGCCGCTCTGTACCAAGGAAGATAAAGCATCCGAAGTGTGCGCCAGTAAAACTTTTCGACGTTGCTTGCTTTGCAGATAACATTCTCTTAAGAAACCTGATGTCTCTGAAAATTAGACTCTTCTTCGTTTATTCGACGTCATTTTTCCTCGTGGTTAATTATTATTGAGTTCGTGAAAATATTCTATCGCTTCTTCTTCTTATTATTATGAAAAATTTTCTTATCTATTGACGAAAAGATTTTGAAATTATATTATAGGAACGAAATTGAATGAATTGTAAAATAATTTTAAATAGTCAATGAAGTTAGAAAATTTTTTTCTTGTGAAAATTTTAATTGATAAAAGCTTTTTATTTTAGTTGTTAATTAATATTTTCGTCAATTTTTTTTATCTGTATTTTATCTCCGTAGTAAAGTAGAAAATTTATCAGAGAATTTTAAATATTTTTTTTTTTTATTTCTTTTTTTAATGGTATATTAATATTGCTAATAAAAGTAGAGAGCAAAACGTGGTCCGAGATTAATCTCTTGTTGAGATTTTAAAGTTACTCGAATCCCTTTTAATTAAACGTTAACTTCTTTAAACTAGATTAAAAAGGCACTACCTTTTCGAATAAAGTAAATGCATACTTTGCTTTATGAAATTAAAATGTCTTCTTTTTCTACGTTTAAAATAGAGGGATAAATGTCAAAACATAGAAGAGATTAAACCACTCTCTATTTTATAGTTACCTGTACTTTCTACTATAGAAAATAAAATTTTTGAAGAGACACGCAAACGAATAAAAATGGAGAAAGCTATCTAAACGTGTGTGACACACGTGGTATATTGGAGGGAATCAAGTGCTGAAATCGACACGAAACCAATTTAAGACATTAATCTCCTGTATGGCTATATGCATCCTGACTTTAAAACAAGCTTTTCTTTTTTTTTTTTTAGCGATTCGAGCAAAAAGTCAATCTCTTTCACAATACGCGGTTTAGTCGTTTTATATAGATATTGGCTTTTATTATATCCATTCATTCTATTTTTTGAGACTTTCGAGCCAATGTTGAACTCCACTGCCTCTTCGCTTTTCACTTTTCATTCCATTTTATTTTTTTGTTTCAATATATTTTACATTCAGTGCTAATTATTGAAATTAAACGTCAATGAATAAGAAAATAATCGTTCTAAGCAATATTTCTCGAGAGAAAAGCACACAAGTGCTTATCTACCATTTAACTTTACTTTAAAACTCGATTAAATCGTATTAAAATTAAGAAAAATTTAAACCGCTATAACTCGGAAGATAATAATTTTTTATCAATAAATCAAAGCTCATCAGAAGCGCGGAACCTTCCCCTTTAAAACGCTTTTTCATTTATCCCGATACGACTTCCGGTTCTCGAGATATCGTTGTGTAAAGGAAACGGTAATTTTTAATCGTTTACTATCTGCGTCTTTGTCGCTTATTCGGATCTCTCGCTCGCACCTCGTCTCACTGACCCACCCCAAACTGCAGACAAGTGACAGGCGCGATTCCTGGAAAAACGTAGTACGCAATTCCAGGAAAAAAATATAGGTCACTGGGTCGAAGATCCATTCATAATTTTTGCGCTACGTTAAGCGCTATGAAAACTTTGAATCCTCGTATCTCGGCAACCAATTGAGATATCGAGATAAAACAAAAAAGGGCTTCAATTGCACGGTTTCCTCTATATTCTGAGTGTGTTTCAATGACCAAATTTTTAAATTTTTTCTCGCACTTTTTACACGAAACGCACTTTTTACACGAAAATTCTACAAATTTCCATTCAATATAATATTTTGCACGATCATAAATGATTTATTTTATACAAAGTATACAAATTGATGTTAATTTCACACTTTTATCATGCATACATAACATTAATTCATCCTGAATTCATCAACAAAACGCGCAAAGTTTCGAAAGTTTATCTAATAAAACAATCATCTGTTGAATGTTTCAGTGACGGGACTCGAGCCAGACTTCGTATACCCGTTGGAGAACTTAACGATCTCGCAGGGTCGAGACGCAACCTTCACCTGCGTGGTGAGCAACCTCGGTGGATACCGGGTGAGTCCTTCCTCCTCCGTGAGCGGAGATCACTCTGGCGGCGCCAAGGCCCGGGTAACTATTTTACCATTTACCTGTGTCCGCCTGTAATGGACTACCCTTATCTACTACTACTACCTACTACTACTACTACTACTACCATCACTACTACTATTACTACTACTGCACTACTTATATGCGCGTGTGCCTGCACCTCACAGCACTGCATTTAACTGCACCATTGCCAGCTATGAAAAAGAAAACCACCGCAGCAGCCGCCACCATCACCAAGCATCTCTCTCTCTGTACGATATCCATTTTCACCCATCAACCGATATATATATATATATAACGTGATCAGCCCGCGTCACTTCAACTTTTCGACCATAATTTTTTTAATTTTCGTTTTTTTCCTCGGGCGCGATTCCTTCCTCCTCTCTTCTTCGTTCATTTTCCCGAATACCCTTTTTCGATCATATCTTTTCTACTTAGAAAAATAAAAAAAAAAAAAAAATCGCGGATCTATGTACTTACATATATATATAGAATGAAAAAGAAAAAAAAAACGAGAGAAAGAAAGTAGTTTATAGAATAGCTTGCGAAATTCGTATATATTATTATAATCTTCCGTTGTGTATATATAGGACGAAAACCGTGACACGAGACCAGACGTAGTTAAACGTTCGGCTCGTTCGCTTCGAAGGGACATTCCCAGTGCCAGTATTTTAATTATGCAGATTTGAGTCTGTAATTATTTTTATTAAATTATTTTATTAAAATTATTTAATAATATTCATATAATCAAATTATTTATAATTATATTCAAATTAAATTGTGGGTACTACGTTCTTTGACTAATAATAAATAATTTAATTTTTAATTAAATTATTTTAAGTTTAACAGTATAAATTTTCATATCATATATTCATATTTTTATTTATAAATTAATAAAAGGAATTGGATTTCTATGATCGTGAAAAATCGATGCGAACTTGCCTTCAATCACTGCTACTAGGTATCAATATCAAGATAGCATGTTACTGCTTAATATTGGACTGTTTCACAGTAAATCAATTTTTTTAATATCTTATTAAATAATAATCATTATTATTACTAATTATATTAATTATTATAATCTATTACTAATTTATTATTAACAATCAATAATTAATATAATATTATTACAAATTTTTATAATCTATTTTTATTTAATAATAATTTTATTAACTAAATAGTTATTATTATAAAATATGAAATTTAAAATATAAAAAAAATGGTATTACCTTTGAAACAGTCTGAAACACATATTAAAAAATAGCATTAGCTTGGAAGTAGATTATATATCGAAACAATAGCTATTAATAAATTAGATAAAGGCAGAACAGAAAATTAGTAAAATCAAATGCTTCTCTCTAAAAATATCATTAGATACAAGAATAGTTGTTTTTCTATATTTTAATATTCTCCTTTAAAATATACAAATATACAATAATTACAAATTCATTACAAACAAAGTATAATAAAAATATTTCGACAAGCTTGTATCGATGTCCGATTATTAAATTCAGAATTCCATATTAACATTCCATTAATATTAACATTAATAACTTTTTCTCATATATTTTTCTTACAAAGTAGATAATAACTAAATTATCTCAACTTTCCCGTAGGTACTTTCGTAGTTATTTGATTAATTTTCGATTATTAATTATACAACATATATTACAAATTATAATTAAGTATAAATATAAATATATACAAATACATTTTGAATTAAATAATATAAAATTACATATATATTCTAACTATTTATTTATAATACAATTTTAATTTAATTTAATTTTAAAAAATTTAAAAAAATTAAGTCTGTAAATACATTTATATTTCGAAATAGATATAAATTAAAAATATTGAAACGTAATAAGAAATGAACAATAAATAAATAATATTCTGAAGAATGATATCGATATTTACATAATTAACAGTACATTTAAATGAATAGATGAAGATTTCTCTTTTTGCTTAATTTATAACGTGGAATTTTGATTAAATTGATGCTGACCAAATTTTGTAAAATTTCTATTTTATCGAATTGCTATATCCTACGTGATATATTCCATCTATTTCTGCCGAAAAAAAAAACGCAATACTCTAGAGAAATCAGCACAATGTATTTTTCACACGATATAGGTTTTTCACACATATACACGTTGAAAATCAAATTCATTCAGTCGTTTTTTTTCTATGCTTTCGATATCATTACTCGTATGACATATTTTATTACATTGTTTCTATAACTCGATATTCAGGACATATTTTAAATAAATATTTGATGAACATAAATTATTTTTATCAATAAAATAATATCAAATTCAACGAGTTACATTTATCAAGTAAATTCAAGATTATTCGTTTCAATATTTATTAATTATATTTTAAAATTATTATATTTAAAATTTACATTAAAATATTAAATTTTAATTCCTTTGATAAATTATTATATTAACATCTAATAGATTGATTTAAAATGTATATATCAGACAAAATTTTTTTATTTCTAATTTTTATAAAATTTAAGGGAAATAAGGGTTTCGGTTAAAAATAGATTTTTTTTCTTTTTATTATAACAATTTAAATTTCTATATAAAATACATAACAATTAAATTAAAAAATCAAAATGATTAAATTGGATTGGAATTGTTGTTAAGAGAATAATTTCGATATAAATTAATGTTTTGCTCGATTATCTCGCACAAACAAAAGTAATAATTTCATAAGTGAACTCCAGAAAATATATTTGACACTTTTACGATCCCACTTGTTGAATTCTTACTACAGGCAAGAGAGAGAATATTTCTTTCTAAAAGATTTTCACCGAAAGTTACCCTATAGACTTTAATTAAGCTTTGGAAATCTAAACTTTATAAATAATTCTTTTTACCAATGGAGTTCACGATTCAGCTTCTATTTCAATGTACAAACACTTACAGCTCTTCAAACAAAAGAAAAAGTATTCGAATAAATTTTTCAACCATTCTGTCAATAATATGATAATTAATCGATTCATTATTCAAAGAGCTATAAATATTTTATCAATTTCAAAATGGATTAGAATTATTAATGTTTATTGTGATTTAATTAAATTATCGATAATACCATTCGAATTAGAAATAATATTTTTATAACAACCATTAAAAAAATTCACTCTCTTAATAACAATTCTTAATAACAGAATTTTGGAAACGAAATTCGCTTAAAATTACAATTTTTACTTACAAATTATCACAGCAAAACATTATCACATTAGAATTTGTTTTCTTATCTAATTAAATTCTATATTTTTTTAGAAAAAAAATTGCTAAAGCTTGAAAATTGTTTCATTCGTTTTGTTATGTATTAAAATTGGAAATATTTCAAAATTTTACCTAACATTATAAACTGATACAAGGAGAGAGGCGAGGAAAGCGCAATAACAAAATACAAATTTCCGAAAACGCATGCATAATTTTGGTTATCGCTTGTTCCATCGACGAAAATCATCATTCTTTCCTGAACGTGACGCGGTTGAAGCGCGAGCCCACCTAACTCGGTTCTATTTGACTTGCTGATTCGTATACGACAAATTATCATTTTCATTTTCATCCTCATGATCAAGAGTCCTTGGTTAAAGTCTTGTGCCAAATGTATGCGCATATATACGGCCATAAACACGCCGAGTATCTTTGCCCCTTTGCGAATACGCTGAATGACAAATCACTCTGGCCTAACCGCCTGATATCTTGTGATTTACGTTGGAAAACGTGTTAAAACAAACAAGGGGAGGCCGAGATCTTTCGTGTTTTACATTTCCCCGCGGAGGCCGTTAATACAAATTACATCGAAATTTGATTGAATTTCAAGGCCATTAAATTTAGATTTTCTTGAGATTTTATGAAAGAACAACGATCTTGCAATTTTTCCCTCCGAGAAAAAAAAAAAGTATATATTCCAATCACAAATTGAAATATGAAAAACTTGATTGGCCGACAACGATACAATTTTTATAAATACTTCTCTCGTGGAATCGAATGGATCTCGAGAAAATTCTCAAGCATTTTTCAGACTTCTCTCGCGGGCAGATATTTTTCCAACTCGAATATTCCTTCGCGCAACCATCCAACGAGAACCCTCCCTAAATATTCTTCCTATCGTGGTGGCGCGTGTATCCGGCAAGACGAGCAACTTAAACAAGCGTGCTCGAAAAGCTTAATCTTCCCATTCACGCGCCGATGAATAGCCCGGCAATAAATGCATTCTGTAGTGTGTGCGACATTCCGGTTAGAAATACAAATTTCGAGGCGATGATTTCCCTTCTCCGCGCGGATTTGATATTGTCGGTCCTCGCCGTATTTTCCACACTGTAGATTTTAACAATTGAAAAAAAAAAAAAAAAAAAAGAAAAAAAAAGATGGACGTTTTAACGTTTAACATACGTTCGAAAAAATGCGGAAAAAATTTCTGATTAGAGAATTATTCGATCTGCACAGCGTGGAAAATATGCGTGTTTTCGGCGTTGCTCGGTTGAATTATTATTGTTATCGGTATTGCATACGGTATAATTCGATAAAGGAGAGAAATTAATAATGTAGAATCGTGAAAAATTGTTCTTTGGGATTATTATTTAGAGAAAAAAAAGATATCTTGATATTTCATTGGATGAGATTAAGCCATTTTAAGGGATATTACTATTTCAGTGGAATTGATTTTATTATTAATAATCGAAAGATAAATTGTTCGTTCTATTTGGTACGAAAAATTTGTTTTAATATTGATAATTCTGCATGAAAAATTTTCGTTTCTCTCATAGCAGCAGAACAGATTAGAATCATCGAATTCGTTTCAATTTTTCTTGAAAGATCATATCACAGATATCCCTTCGAGATTCGATTCCCTTATTAATTTGGAATGATCTCATCGTAGTGGAATTTTCGATGAGCAATAAAAGGGGCGCGTTAAATGGCTTATTGGCTTTTTAGATTTAAGCTTCCGTGCTTAAACGCTAATTGGAAGTTTCGAAGCAAACCGGGCAAATTCCA